CCTGGTATTCTTTGATGGACTCCTTTTCGATTACAGTGGGCCCTCCACATTCGCCGGGGTTAGGGGTGCAGGGCTCCTGTGAAAGTGGAAAAAACACAAATAAAAAATTCTTGTATATTCTTTTAACCTGAGACAACACCTCTTGGAATATCTAGGTCCTCCAGTGGAACTCAGTAGTCCACATCCAACAGAGGTTGACCATAGAGGTTGATCATGCTGGAGGACCTACAAAAGCCTAACAGAAGTGTTTTCTCTAGGAAGGTTCTCCATTGTGACTTTATCGTCAATGTCCAGGAGAGTCACACTGGAGGACCTAGAGATTCTTTTAAAAAAAAATATTCCTTATTAATTTAAAAATCAAAATAGTACATTCTTTTTCCATATTCTACCTAAATCAAATATTCAATGTTTACATCGTCATACAACTTGTCTTTTCCACCAAAATATAGTGTATGCAAATATAGAATACGTATTATACAGAATGGTTCCCAATTGACAAAGGGGTCAGACAAGGCTGTATCCTTTCACCCTATCTGTTCAACTTGTATGCAGAACATATTATAAGCAGATCAAACTGGAAACCTCCCTGGAAGCCAAAATGACCAACTGAAACTGTCGTACTTTGGACACATCATGAGAAGGGAGGATTTGGAAAAGACAATAATGCTGGGAAAGGTGGAGGGAAGGAGGAAGATGGATGGACTCTATTATTAAGGAGGTCACAGGTATTAAGGGGTTGCAGGAATTAAACAGAGCAATGGAGGACAGAGGGTCTTGGAAAGGTCTCATCCATAGGGTCGCCATGAGTTGAGATCGACTCAAGGGCAGTTAACAACAAATTATTCCATTTTCCTATCTTCCCTTACATTTGGAATTTACCATTATTTTTGCAAATATTGTTGTAGTACTTCACATTTTGCAAATTATTCAACTTCCTGCTTTGCTTTCATATGGAGGAAATCTGCTGCTCTCACTTTTCTGGCTGCCATGACATGTTTGCTAATTGGTTTGTATTACATTTTATGATTAATCTGATTTTAATTCTATAATAGTTTAATTTAGTTTTAAGGGGTAGGAGGGTTGGGGTGGGAGTGGAGGGCATGGGGAGTTGGAATGTTTTAATTGTTGCATTTTTTAACTTGCTGTAAGCCGCCCCGATTGCCGAGCAGAGGGGCAGGTTATAAATAAATTATTATTATTATTATTATTATTATTATTATTATTATTATTATTATTATAATATTTTCGCTTTTTTGAATAAATGGCATCCTCCAGTTACCTATTTACCCTTTGCTCTCATTTATTCCCTCCATATTTTCATTCATCTTACTTTAGTCTATTACAATATTTTCTTTATGTTCCAAACCTTATTCACATATTTTACCATAGGACTCCATTCCCTTTCTAATTTTTATTGATTTTTTATTAATCAAAACTTTTGATTTATCCATTTCTCTTAGTTCCATAATCTTCGATAACTATTCATCCATAGTAGGTATATTCTCTGATTTCCAATTTTTTGCCAATAATAGTCTAGAGGCTATTACTAAGAATAGGACTATTCTCCAATATTTCTTCATTGTCTCTGATCCCAAAAAGGAAGTTACATTTAATATGGAATTTATCATGTTCATATACTCTTCTAACATATTATTTCCTATGTAAAAAGATCTTGTAGCACCTTTGAAGCTAACTGAAAGAAAGAAATTGGCAGCATGAGCTTTCCTAGACTTCAGTCTCCTTCCTCAAATGCATTTGGTCTAAATGCTTCTGAGGAAGCAGACTGAAGTCTAGGAAAGCTCATGCTACCAACTTCGCTCTTTCAGTTAGTCTCAAGGGTGCTACAAGATCTCTTTATCTACCGATTTGACAGACTAACATAGCTATATCTTTGAATATTATTTCCTGGTTTTGCACCTACCACATTGAAAAGGTGGACTAGAGGACCTTTGGGACCTATCGTCCGGTGGTATGATGCTGCAAAGAGCTCCCACTCCCTCCCAGACCGGACTGCAGGGTCCAGCATTGTCCAAAACTCCAACTCTCTGAAGGAAATATTTCCTCTCTGTGGAGCAAGCTCAGGGCAGCTGTCTCTCACACCGTGAGCTGTTTATCTGCAACTGATTAGACTTCCTTCCCCAGAAACTGTTGGGAGAAAACAGTCATAGGTGCAAGCCCTCCTCAGACAGCAAAAGCTACATCTCAGCTCATAAACAGCCCCGCTTACCAGGACATCAGGCTGAGTGAATCCAACCCCTTCCTTCCAGGGCCAGGTGGTTCTTTTCAGGCCTCGGGTCTGTTCTGACCTTAGCTAGCACGATCCCTTGGGTCAGAGAAAGGCAAGGCTCCAGTCCTCGGCTCTCTCCCTTCTCCCTTTGCAAAATTTTCCTTCTAGAAGAAGACTCCACTTGCTGCCGCATCCTAATTCTCCATCCTTGTAAGGTAACGCTCTTAGCCATAGGGATGACTAGCACCCTGTGGTTCACTCTCCATGTCTTGAAATGGAGAGTACTTCCAAGGACAACATGACCTGGAGGAGAAAGCACGGGAAAGTGGTGACACTTTTTGCAATGCCTGCTTTTCTTTTCTTTTCTTTTCTTTTCTTTTTTTAGAAATATACAAATAAGAAAGAGTCCTGCTGGAACTGATCAATATGTGCCCTCGTCCAACATCCTGTTCTCCACTGTGGCTAAAAAAAATCCACCCCAGCAGGAAGATTGCAAGCAAGACCTGGTGGCAATACCACCCTCATGTTCCCCAGCAATTGGTATTTGGACGTATGATTATTCCAGAGGGTAAACTGTGGCCCCAGGAGCTCCTGTGGCCCCCAAGACCTTTAGGGGCACTCAGCAATGTGATGCAGCAGCTAAGAAAGCCAATGCAATTCTAGCCTGCATCAATTGGAATATAGTATCTAGATCAAGGTAAGATAGTACCACTCTATTCAGCTTTGGTCAGACCTCACCTGGAATAATCCTGTGTCCAGTTCTGGG